TCACACTGGGGAAGACCCCATGTATGTAAGCATTGTGGGAAATCTTTTAACCAAAAGAGAAATTGTCAAATACATGAAAGAATTCACACTGGGGAGAAACCCTATGTATGTAAGCATTGTGGGAAAGCATTCAGCACATTCAGTCATTGTCAAAGACATGAAAGCATTCACAGGATGGAGACCATATGTATGCAAATGATATAGGAAAACTTAGCCTACACAAAAATATTTTCTAATACATGAAATAATTCATAGTGAAGAGAAACTATGTATATCAGTAATGTGGGAAATCTCCAGCCAATGGAGAACTGATCAAACACATGAAGAAATTCACACTAGGGAGGCATGCCAAGGCACCCAGCACAGAGGAGACCTCCGAGTCGGCATGCCAAAGCTCCCAGCCAGCAGGAGGCTTCTGGGTAGGCATTCTGAGGCTCCAGCCTGGAGGAGGTTTCCAGATAGTCCTATCACAGCTATGAGTTAGCTATGAAAAATCAATTGATAGGAAAGAATTTAATATTCAGGTATTTCACACTCTGCTAAAGTTTAAGAGTTGTTTTGGGTTTTGATTATTTTCTTCCATCAATCAACCATAAAACAGCCAGAATGGAACATGATACTGTTGATCGTCGCTATTCTGAAAATCTGAAATAAAAAATGCTGTAAATTTTAAAACATTTTAAGCACCAGTGTTTTGGTGGAATAGAAAATCCATACCTCCTTCTATGACAGCTTACAGTTAAAATGCAGGCATATTAAAAGTATTACATACAATTGCCTTCAGGCTATGTATATAAGGTATAGATAAAGCATTAGTGAATGTTTTGCTCTGACCCTATCTTTGAGATTGCAGTATTTATATATGTAGATATTCCAAAATAAAAAAATACAGAAATCTGAAAACTTCTCTTCTCAAGCATTTTAGATAAAGATACTCAACCTGTAATAATATGATATTCATGTACCACTGAAATTTATAATATACTTTCACAGATAAGGTAAGACAGTAATTATTCATTCTATTAAAAAAGATGAGTACTTTGAATATCTAGGTAAGTCAACATAATATTTGTGCATTATTATTAACTAAAGTTCATAGTTTACATTAGAGTTCACTTTTTGTGGTATACATTCAATGAATTTTAACAAATGTATAATGACAGTGTATTTACCAATAAAATATCATGAAGGCTAATTTCATTCACTTAAAAATCCCATGTCATCTGCCTAGTCATCCCTCCCTCTTCTGGCAAGCATTGATCTTTTTACTGTCTCCATAGTTTTGCCTTTTCCAGAATATCATTGGAATCATACAGTACTTATCCTTTTCATATCAGCTTCTTTCACTTGATAATGTGCATTTAAATTCTCTCCATGCCTTTTCATGGCTTGAAAGCTAGTTTATTTGTCTCTCTGAATAATATTTTAATATATGGTATTCAGAGTTTATCCGTTCAGCTATTAAAAGATATTTTGATCATCTCTAAGTTTCAGCAATTATAGATAAAGCTACTTTAAACATTTGTGTGCAAGTTTTAGTGTGAGCGTAAATTTTTAATTCATTTAGGCAAATACCAAGAAGCACAACTGCTGAATTTCATTTTCTTTTTATGTATAAATATGACTCACTATCTTCTGTTTTCAGATATGAAATGTAGTAGCTTGAGAGAAATAACTCCAGATGAACATCCCCTTTTTTATTTTTATAAACTATTTTCTTTTTGGTACCAGGGATTGAACTCAGGACCTTACACTTGTGAGGCAGGCATGGTGCCACTGAGCTAAATCCCTGGGCCTTCATCAACTATTTTTAACTTTTCATAAGCTTTGAGGAGTTTCTAATACTTTTTTCTGGTTCTTGGAATTGAATCCACTACTTCACAAATGGTAGGCAAGCACTCTGTCACTGAACTACATTCCTAGCTGCTATTAAATACTCCTATTTAAATTAGAGATATGTGATGTATTTTCAAAGGAGTGGATACAAAGCATTTATGTCATGCCTTTTTTCCAAAAATCTTCAGGCCATTTAAACATGTCATTATCTTTTTCCCAAGCCATCCTGACAGGCTGAGAAGCTAGTTTTTGAAGTTGTGACCAGGAAATATTTATAAATATTAAAGAAACTTAAACTCACAGTGTCCATTAAGGGCTGGGCATAGTGGTGCATGGTTGTAATTCCAGCACTCTGGAGGCTGAGGCAGGAGGATCACTGCAAGTTTGAGGCCAGCCTAGACAACATAATGAGTTCAAGGCCAACCTAGAATATATAGCAACTGTATGTTCATTATCAAGTCCACTTTTATAATGCATAAACATGGATTTAAACAAAAGAGATTGGAAGCAAAACCCCAGCTTAGTAACAGGTCAGCCAATTCCCTTTGTAAAGGAAAAGAGCAGGGAGAACAAATTCTCTCCAGAACTGAATTTTGTTTTTGAGACAGGATCTCACTATGTAGCCCAGGTTGGCCTTGAACTCACTATGTAGCCCAGGCTGATCTCAAACTCTTGGCAATTGTCCAGCCTCAGCCTCCAGAGTCCTGGGATTATGGGTGTGTGCCACCACACCTAGCTGACCTGAAATGTTTAAAATGAACATAGAGAAAAGCTTTTAATCATTCTTGTGTGCCCCTCTTCAAAAAAGGGCACTATGGGCAGGAGTGTCTGAGAGAAATCTGAATGAATCTTTCCATGATCATTATGGAAGACCTCAAAGCATGTTATCATTTTATAAAAACATCTCTCTGTCCATTTTCCAGTGTGCCAGGAAGCTCTCTGGGAAGCTTTCAAGACTTTTTGGGATCGACTACCTGGGAGAGAGGAATATCGTTACTGGATGAATTTGTGTGAGGATGGAATCACAAGTATATTTGAAATGGGCACAATTTTTAGCCAGTCTGTGGAACACAGAAGCTTAATCATGAAGGTAAGTGTCACAGGAGGGAAAGAATTGTTGTACTATAGTAGGAGCACATATGCACAGCTAAAGCCAAGTGAGCTGCCCTAGGGTATACCTTAGTCTTTTATCTTTAGCTTTGGGTTTTATAATAAACATTGTTAACCCAGATAACAGCCTCAGCCTTGTTCATAAATGTAGATATTTGGAAATAATATTCAACAAATATTTTTAGGCTATTAATATAGATCTGTGAGAGCCAGACTTTTTTGCCAAATGAATTTACATATTAATTCAGACTGGATATCAATGATTCTAATTAAGATACAGGATATAATTCACTGAATAAATGTTTAGGGAAGCATAAATATGATTGCAATTTATGATTTGCTTATTTTCCTTGTTTTAGACATTAGTTTATTCTTAGTGAAGAATACATAAGCATGCATATAAACAAGTTACCTACTCATTTTCCCTTTCTCACATAACATGCATGTATTCATAACAAGAAAAATTTTTTTCAAAATTTAAAATTGTTTGTGCTGTCTGATATGCCTTGTATCTCTGTCCATCTGATTAAGTCCTATTTGTTCTCAGCTCAGATGTAACCTTCCTTGTGAGAAATTATACCTCAGTTTAGCAGATTTAATGCCCAAATTCCTTGAGTTTCCACAATTCTTTCTTTATTCTTTACTATTGTAGTTCTTACATTTTATTATTAATGTCTATATTCCTCCACTACACTGTGAGTCAAAAGGCAAGGATTGCCAAGTGTGGTGGGGCACACCTGTAATCCTAGCATTTGGGATGATGAGGCAGGGGGATAACTGTGAGTTTGAGGCCAGTCTGGGCTACGTAGTTATTTCAAGGCTACCCTGAACTATATAGCCAGAATTTGTATGTAAAAAAAGACAAAGATTATGTCATTACATGTTAGTTTTTGCATTCCTATGATATAGTGGTTCTACACACAACAGGAAGGTTTACACAGGAGAAGACTGGGACAGAAAATCCAAGTGGAATGCTGTCACAGTATGCCAGGCCTGAAACAATGAGGTTCCTAACCAGAGCATGGGATGGAGAAAAGGAGCATGAGAGACATAAGTAGGAAACAAGATTAGTAGGACTATGATAGATTGGATGGGAGTAGAATGGCCTAGGAGGCCTCCCACTTTCTACTTTTGGTGACTAAGACCAAAAACTAAGGCAGAAAAGCAATTTTGTAGATGTGGCAGGGAAAATAAGTTCATATTTGAATGTGTGCATTTGAGCTGTCTGTATGCAATTTGAATTGTTTGGTATTTAGGTATAAAGTTAAAAAGAATGGTGTGGATTGTAAATATAGCTACAGAAATCATCAGTCCTCTGGTAGTAGTTGGAACCATGAAAGTGACTAAGATTGTTCTGGGAGAGACTGTAGAGTAATGTGTTATTGAGCCTTTGCATGACAAGATAACTGGGAGAAATTGACTTACAGGACTAAAGATTTATCTTGGCTCATGGTTTCAGAGGTTTCAGTCTATAGCAACTTGACCTGGATGCTTTTAGGTATGGAAAAAGGCAATATATCATAGTGGAAACATGTCGAAAAGGAAAGCTGCTCAGCTCAAGATGGCCAGAAAGGCAAGAGATGGAGCTTGCTTTTATAACAAGATCTCTCTCCCAAAACCTACTAAGCCATGCATCTATAAATGGTTTAGTTCACTGACAGGGTAAGAATCCTAATGATCTAAATACCTCCCAAAGGCCTCACCTCTGAACACTGCTGCATTAGGAACTAAGCCTTGAACACATGAGTTTTTAGAGGACATTTAAAATCCAAAACCATGACAAGTAATAAGAAGAGTGAGTTATCTAATAACATCATTTGAGATGTTTAGGGTAATAGTCTCTCAACTTGACATATGAATTAATATATGTATGGCACCTGAATGATTCTGGGATTTGCCTATGTCTAGGGAGGGGAAACTAAATCTTTTAGTTCTATATCAGTATTCTTTTCATCATGTTGATCTCAAAAGAAAACTAATTTAGAGGAAACTTGGGACAATTTGCTTTGGAATGTCCTTGAGGAAAATCTAGTTGCTGATTATGTGGTGTTTTTTTGGTCTGAATTCCGAAGAAATGGGTTCATCAGTATCTACATGTTCATGCAGTTATAGGACAAGAATTATTATAAATTTTTATACCACAGAATTCAAAGTCTATGACAAGTAAATGTAAAACTCTACCCATCTCTTATTTGTAGACTTTTTTTGAATGATTAGTGAGTAAAATCTGTTAATCTCTACCCTTTACAAAACAGCACATAACTTTGGGGCACATAAATACAGACTGAATATTAGGATATCCCCACATCACAAAACAAACTCGGCATCATCAGTAATCAGTTATTATCATTTGCCTAGACATAAAGAATATTAACATATATTCTACTATGTTAGTGTATTAGTGTTTTCTATGAAATAAGTTTTATTTACTGTTTCATAATTTCTCCTAACTCTTTCAGTCATTATTATATCTTTGTTTTCCTTAGAAACTGATTGACACAAAGGAAATGGTAGGCAGGTGAGTATCTTCCCCCCCCCCCCAATTTGTTTGACAGAATAGATGTGCCATATCCACTCCAAGAATCACCCTCAATTTTTTGTTCATTATTTTTATTAGTACATGTTGTAGTATATAATGATTACATTCATTGTGAGGAATTGGTACATGTGCATAACACATCTCAGTTCTTTTAATCACTCCACATTTATTGATTCCTATTTTATTTTTTGTCTGTTCCTGCCAAGATGAAGCTTGTGGGTAAGTCTCAAATGCTTTTTCATATATTGAGGCCACCTCCCTTTCCAGGCCACTATCCTACTACAGCCACTATGCTTATTTACTATCTAATCTTATCAGAAGGAAGACTTGTTTCTCTCTTGGATAAGAAAACAAATTTATGACTTGATCTATGTAATGATCTATTGCTGTTGAGGTTTAAAGGCAAATGATAAAATTGTTATCTTAGTAGATGCTGATTTATTAAATGATGGCTGGTGCTGTAGATTACTTTTTAAAATTTTATTCTTATGATCTTGAAACATAAAAGTAGCACAACCTTGAGGAATCCATCAGTGCTATGATTCTTTTCTTTTTTTTTTGGTATTGAGGATCGAACTTGTGTCCTTGCGCTTGCACAGCAGGAGGTGAAACCACTGAGCTAAATCACAGTGCTGTGCTATGATTCTTGACTATATGATTCTATGGCCCAGTGCTATGATTCTTGACTATATTGGGCTTTAGGCAAAGAGTTAAGATAATTTCTGCTTCTTAGACAGTAGTAGCACAAAGCAGATCCCAGAAGATGAGGTATTTTGAGCCTATAGCAGCTGAAGATTTCTGTCCATCCTCAGAATATCTAGATTATGCCAGCATGTGAGTAATTACATATGAAAGCACTAGCACTAGACTGAAAAATCACTAACAAATCAGTGTTCAGAGATCCATTCTGAACAGCAGAGTTGAGACAGGGCATAGTTTGATGGGGCAGTAGTGGGGTAGGTATTGGTTAACTTTCCTTTTGCTGGGAGAGAATACTTGACACCCACAAATTAAAGGAGGAGAGGTTTATTTTCATTATGATACTACTGGACTGGATTATGCTGGAACTTGGGATCAGACATCAACTTAGATGTGGGAGCCATGTGGTTCTTTGGGTGTGATCTCCTCGCTATTGGGAAGCAGAGCTCAGAGGTTCCTTGATTGCCTTGCAGCAAATAATGTACTAAGTACTCTTGTGAGTCCTCTAAGACTAGATCAAGTGAGTTTTATACTCATGTGAACTATATCATAAAGAGCTGCTTTGGTCAGGAGTCAGGGTTCAGAGATTCAAATAGGGACTTGAAATGATGAGGAGCTTAAAGGAACTTGTGTTGTCCTAGTGCACACTAGTTTCCTCAGGGTTCTCTGAGCTGTTTGTCCCCTTTTCATGTGATTTCAAAAGCATTGCAAGACAGGTGGGACAGGACAACAGGAGTAGAGGGTTCATCATGCAGGATATAAGTCTGTAATGATACAGTGTTCTGGGTTGGGGGTTCTACATCAGAGACCTGTGCTAAGCAAGGGAAGCATTTGGCTGATGTTTATTTGCTGCCTATGAATTTGCTGGATTGGTTGGTATTGACTGTCTTCTCAGTCTAATTATTTGCTTACAAACAGAAGTCCTTACTCATTTAGGAAGTTTTAGGCCAGTAGTTTCAATATTCTCAAATTATTTGTTTTGTTTTTGTTTTTTTGGTACTGGGGATCAAACTCGGGTCCTTGCGCTTGCAAGGCAGGTGGTGGAACCACTGAGCTAAATCCGCAACCCAGTAGTGTCAATATTGACTGAACTGTGACCCACTCTCACAGATTGATTTAATAGATTGCAGCATGACTTGAAATTTTTTTAAAATTTTATTTTGTTGGTACATTACAGGTATACAATATAATGACATTCATCATCGGAAATTTGCCCCTTTACATAATGTCTCTTGGTACTTATTTTGCCCTATTCCCCTGCCCTGCCTACAACCCCTCCATTCTTCCTTATTTACAAAGACTTTGATTCAATTTTTTCATTTTCTCATATTAATTCCATTCCCTTCTTTCCGATTCCCTATCCCTTCCACTTTCCCTTCCCCTCTGCCCCTTTTCTTCCTGTTTCACATTATCTGTTACACCTTTTGATCCTGATTTACACTTTCAGTTTCTCACACTAGAGAAACTATTCAGTATTTACACATGTGTGTCCTATTTATTTCACTTAAGTTTATTGCCTCAATATGCATTCATTTAGCAATAAATGTCTCTAATTTCTCATTTTTTATGGCTGAGTAATACTCCATTTCATAAAAAAACCACATTTTCTTGATCCAGTCTCCAGTTGATGGGCGTTTGGGCTGTTTCCAAGTTTTAGCTATTACAAACTGTGCTGCTATGAAGATGGGTAGACATATATCACTTTTTGATTTTAATCTTTTAATTCTTTGGGGAAGATACCCAGCAGGGGAATAGCTGGGTCAAATCGGACTTCCAGTCCTAGTTCTTTGAGTTATCTCCATACTGATTTCCACAGTGCTTGCACGAGTCTACACTCCCACCAGCAGTGGAGCAGGGTTCCTCTTTCCCCACAGCCCCGCCAGCATTTGTTATTGGTTGATTTCATGATAGCA